TTTTAACATTGACTACAAAACCACTGAGATACTGAATATCCTCAATAGATTTTACCATCTAAGAAAAAGAAATATCCTAATCCATGAAAACAGTATAACCATCTTAATTCTGATGGGGACAATTGGGCATAAATATTCCTCCAAGGCTAAATATCAGCTATTCATGCTTAAAATTTCCAGTGAACTTGTGGCCAGTAAGACTCCACTGTGCTCCAGAAAGAAAAAAAATGTGTGGTTAACAGAAGTCTTTGAGTGCCTTCTAACTCCCATAGCAAAACAAAACAAAACACATCCAGGAGATGTTTGTGCACACAGTATGAAGCACAAAAGGCATCTCAGACCTTTTGGGCATTCTTAAGACCATGGATCCAAATTCTCTTCTCCGGGAGAGCCTTAAGTCTCATTTCTTGAAGTAGAGGGGAAGAAAATCAATGTCAGGAAACTGAGAAAAACAAAATCCCTGTATGTTTATAAGAAGGAAAGTATGCCCCAAAGTACAAGGAAGATGGGGGGAAGGGAAGATGGAGGGGGTGGGATGCTGCTCTCAGATAAGCTGTGTAGGCGCCAGTACCTCACCTCACCACGGTATTTTATGAGTCAGTTCCTTTATGTTTGCCTGAGTTTGACATGAAACTGCATCCAGCAGATGGAAAGCTTGCTCTGGGGCTAAGATCTTAGCGAAGAGCTTGGCAACAGCAGCACTAGCAGCTGTCACAGAGAAAAACTGATGAACAATACTTATATACAACAACAAATGTTCCTCTTCCCTCACATTCGCAGATGCTGGCCAACCAATGCCAACACAGAGCTCTCCTTAGTGCTCATGGCTGCATTTTATAAGCTCTAAAAATTTCAGGGTTTGCAAATAATTGCCATAGCACTGACACCAGTATCACTGACCCCCACACCTGGGGGTCTGATGGTGGCAGGCCACTCCCTTTCCAGATAAATCCCTGCTCCTCACCTCATACCTTGATGTAAGTGTTGAGATACTGAGGTCTTTTCAATTCCTTACACACATCAGCAGATCGTCTAGTTCTACCACATAACTGATTTATCCTTAATTCTCTCTTGAGAAACCAGAGGGAGAAAGACTATTCATGTTCACATGTTCATTTATAAATATCACCATCAAAAGTGAGACTTCCACCAAATTTCATGCAAAGATCCCTTTTCTGTTGTCCCTACAACATCCACACATGAGAACAACTGAATTTTTCTTGTGATAACATTTCTTAAATTACCTGATTTTGAATTGCTCACATTATATAGAATAAAGATTGATTAGGATTCTAAAGCACTGAGAGCAAAAGATTCAAGGCTGTGCTCATAAAATACACCTTTGGTCTAGAGCCTCACAGAAACCCACTCAGCCTCACATTTTGAGAGCTTAACCCTAGAACCCATGGCTCAGAGTACAGCAAGCCTGACCCAACTTTCCAAATGTTTTGAACATTTGCCATTGGGCCAAAGTATGAAAACTAAGACCACCTTCCATGAATCTGTGTGTATTGCAGTAAACTTCACCAACTTTCTGTTTTTGAAAAAAATTTTACACTGTAAATATTACTTTTCCAACTTTATATAATTACCTATGAGATTCTTCTTCCTCTGTTTAGGAGAAAAGTGTGCTCCATAGCTACAGAAATCTGTCCTATCTTTGTTCTACTAGAGTAATCTCTTATAACCTTTAGAGGATATGAACCAAAAAAGGTCAGGAGCCCTTTATCAAGTGAGCTTTGGTTATTAAGTTCATACAACTTTTGCAGCCACTTTGGTTGTACATTAGGGAGCTCCCTACCTATTTAGACATTGTTGTTAGATTAAATCACATGTATAAAGTCATCTAAGGCTACATGAACTAATACTTGATGTCATTTTCTCTAAGCCAACATTTCAACCTAAAAAGATGAGGGGTCTGATACTATTTTCAAACAAATGGAAAGTGCATCTGCAAATACATACATACATACATACATACATACATACATACATACATACATTTAAGATAAACATTTTATTTGAAAATAACAAGAAAAACTATAAGTGACTGAGTTGTGACCACTGCCTAGCTGTCCTCACTCCTCCAGGTTGGTTAAATTTCTGGGCATCTCCTCTAGCATAATTGCAAACATGTTTAGTTATCACTTATCCAAGTGAATCTGGCCTTCATTATTCCTCAGGCATGGGGTGAGGTAATTAACCTAGAGCTGAATTAAATACAATAACAATGGATTAGATGACAGATACCGTGTTCCCTGGGCAGCTCAGTCTTTACCTGTTAATTGCACCAAACACATTGTGGGCTCAACACAAGGAGAAAAATTGTATATTCTGTGAAAGTGTAGCCAGGTTGCTCCAGAAGAAAAAAAAACTACTAATGGTAAACCTTTCTATTTTTAGGCTTAATGTAGTTTTTATTTGACAGTAAGGGAAGCATGGTGTTAATTTGTTTGCTTCAAAATGTCCATGTCACAAGAGACCTTGGGAAATTGCATACTGCCTTCCTTTGCCTTCAGGGAGAACCCCAAACATCAAGACCAGCCCAGACAAAGAGAACCCCAGTGTTAGAGTTTTCTTTCTGACATAAAATGACTTGAGGATGAATGGATTTATTTGGCTTACAATTCCAGGTCACAATTCATCCTTGAGGGAAGTCAAGGCAGGAATCATGGAAGAACAATGCCTACTCACTTACATTTTGGCTCATTCATTGGCTCATGCTTAGCTCACTTTCTTGTAGAGATCAGGATTGCCCTGCTCAGGTTTCACATCGTTCCTGGTGAATTGGCTCTCCCACATCCACAATCAATTAAGGCACTCTCTCACAGACACAGACACAGGCCAATATAATCTGAACAATCTGTCACTGAGCTTCCTTCTTCCTAGGTGTCTCTAGCTTGTCTTGAGTTGATAATAAATCTAGCTAAAACATTTAGTATCCTTTCCAACTAATAGAATATCTTTAAACCTACATAATCTATATAGTAAGGAATACTAAACATGTAGTATAATATGTATGAGGTATATACATGCAGCTGAACACATGTGCTGTACAACTTCACCCAGTTCTTTAGAAAAAATAGGCTTCTTTCATATTGCCATCAAATGGAAAGATCTGTAAGATTAAAGCCTTATGTGGGCACTGAACTCTGAACACACTTTCACTTTTTAAAAGTCACCCCCTGGACAAGACAACACAGCAGTGCACAGAATGGCAAAGATATTCCCCAACCCCACATCTGACAGAGGGCTGATTTCCAAAATACACAAAGAACTCAAGGAGCTAGTTACCAAAACACCAAATAATCCAATTAAAAAGTGGGGTACAGAGATAGAGAATTCTCAATGGAGGAATCTAAAATGGCTGAAAGACACTTAAGAAAGTATTCAGCATCACTAGCCATCAGGGAAACACACATCAAAACAACTCTGAGATACCATTTAACTCCCATCAGAATGGCTAAAATCAAAAACACCAAAGACAGTTTATGCTGGAGAGGATGTGGAGAAAGGGACACACTCCTCTGCTGCTGGTGGGAGTACAAACCTGTACAGCCACTTTGGAGATCAGTATGGCGATTCTTCAGAAAAATGAGAATCAGTCTACCTCAAGATCCAGTATTTCCACTCTTAGGCATATACCCAAAAGATCCACATTCATACAACAAGGAAATCTTTTCAGCTATGTTCATAGAAGCATTATTTGTAGTATCCATAACATGGAAGCAACCTAGATGCCCCTTAACCGAAGAATGGATGGAGAAAATGTGGTACATTTACACAATGGAGTACACTCAGCAGAAAAACACAATGGAATCCTGAAATTTGCAGAGAAATTGATAGAACTAGAATAAATCATTCTGAATGAGGTAACCCTGTCACAAAAAGACAAACACACTTCCAGAAAAGCTAGGAAACAAGGAGGACCCTAAGAGAGACATACATGTTCCCCCAGAGGAGGGGAAAGGGACAAGATCTCCTGAGCAAATTGGGAGCATGGAGGGAGGGAAGAGGAAGTTTGGAGAAAGAGAAGGGGATAAGAGGAGGGGAGGGGAAGACATGAGGGAGCAGGAAGACTGAGTAAGCTGAATTGTAGTGGGATATTCAACACAATACCTAAACAAGAGGAGAAATATGCACATCACAAAATTGACCTCAAATTTGTATCAATAAATGAAAATCCATTCCAACACAAAGTATTCATATCTGTACCACAGGGAATAGTAGAGGAGAATAAGTAAAGAAATACCATAATCGATTTAAGGAGAAATCTGTCACTAGGGAAATGCCCAGAGATCTACAAAAATGAACCCAACTAATAATCTAAGCAATAGTGAAGAGGCTACTTTTAATGTCCTTCCACAGTAATGAGATTGACAACTACCTTTTATATGCCATCTTAGAGCCTTCATCTAGCAGCTGATGGAAGCAGAACCAGACACCCACAGCTAAACCCTGAGCCAAACTCCTGGAATCAAGTTACAGAGAGGGAGGAGTGATGAACAAGGGGTCAATACCAGGCTGGAGAAATCCTCAAAAACAGCTGACTTGAACTAGGGGGACCCCAGACTGATAGCTGGGAAACCAGCATAGGACAGACCCAGACTCTATAGTGCCCAAAGCGAAAATCACTCAACCGTGAACTGTGATTGAGTGCTGTGAACTAAGACACATATCGCCACATTGTAAGTGCATCAGTTCACTTATTTGATGGGATGGTGGCAAACACGGCATCCAAGCTACGTATGGTTCTTCTACACTATCTCACTCGGTATCTCAGCTTTCTTTTGTGTGCTTTATCATGTGTTTGCATAGTTACAATAAGAAACCTGAGATGTTCTCACTGGCGCTGAGTTCAGACTGCTGCACAGAAAAGAAAAACCCAAAGAAAAGAGGAAAAGAAGTCATCACTGAGATGCCAGTCACAGATGGGTACCAAGTGACCTTATCCCTGGCAGCCTTGCACCACTCCGTGAAGAAAGGTTAAGCGTGCTCACCTTCTGGTCTTGACTGTATGCCAGGATCCAATCTTCTTGCTTTGGATGGAAAAGCAAACTCTGAATGTAAAAGTTCAGCCGGTACTTTTGATACGTCGCCCCTTCATCCGAGCTGATCAACAAACTGCTCTCAATCTCCGGGTCTGTGAGTAACATAATCTGCAGTGAAGCAACAGAAAGGGAAGTTTACACATCAATGCATGGCACGTTGACACAAGAAGCCCAAAAACGCAGGCAGAGCGTGGCCGATCAGACAAGGACCTGTACTCTGAAGTGCTGGCTCTCCTATCTCAGACAGCACCACAAAAACACGTGTGTTATCTGAAGAACATAGAGGAACTGGTCAGGGTCAGGAGATGAAATCAGAAGACCATATTTTTCCCCTTTACAGGACTTTTTAGGAGAAACTTTTCTCTTTTTTTGGTTATTTTTCTTTTCTTTTTTAAAAAAAATTGTAAATTTATTTAGTATTTATTTACTTATGTGCATCCATGCACGGACTAAAGCGCAGAGATGGAGGTCTGAGGACAACTTGTGGGTTTTGGTTCTCTCGATCTAATATGTGGGTCTGAGCATAGAACTCAGATTACCAGGCTTGGCATCAAGCACCTTACCTGCTGAGCTACAAAGTTGTCCTCTTAACCTGAAACTTTCCTCCTTTCCCCTTGACCCTAGTAGCCCTTCCTCATGCTGTAACTTGTTCACACTCTCAGGTGTACCAACCTGCTTGTTTGCTGTGCAGGAAAGGAAGACGAAGGAGCTCGGACCCAATGCTTTTCTTTCCTGCCTTAAACTCCTATTTCACATCAACCACACACTGTCATTCTGCCTTTAGCTTCAGTCTATGAGCCTTGAATCAAAGTCTGAGCCCTTGAAAATTTTTAAATGCATATATTTTTGAACTCCACTGCCACTTTTCACTGTTTAGTCTGCTATATCATTTATTCATTTATTTTACTTCTTTCTGCGTCCACTTTACATACGTTTTACAAGAGTCAGGGAATATCTTTTGCTCACAGGTATATTCCCAGAAGCTAGACTAAGTTCAACATGCATCACACACTCTACAAATATCTGCCAAATGAATAAATGAATGGAAAGAAACGAGGGAGTGAGGAAGGGAGAAATGGAGGGGGGGAGGAAAGGAAGAAAGGAGGGAAAGGAAGGAGTGAAGAAGAAAGATAAGGAGGCAGGTTTTAAAAGCACTCCTGTAGACTTAGAAATACGTTTAGAACAGCTTGCCAAGATATGAATGTAAACTCCATAGGAAGCATAGCTGAATGTACTTCTCCATCTCTCACCCATGGGTTATAAATCTATGTAAACTCATAGCTCCAGGTATTTGTTTCAGACTCTCACTGGGATGCCTACCCTTGGCCAGAGCATTCTGAATAACCACAATAGAAGCAAGACGAATGAGCTGCCTTGAGAACTGCTTGCTTTCTCTCACTTTCTGCCTTTAGGAATATGTGATGAAGTATCTCATTCCTAACCCTCTATAGGTCTCCTTGGCTCCATCAAAGTGTGCACCTAACATTTACAGACAGCACACCTTAATGCTACCCATCAATGTCTTCCCTGTCAGCTTATTAATTGGTAATCTCTCAATCTGGTTCAGTATGAAAGATGTGCTCAATGTATGGGTATGTGATGGAAGATCACAGCAGCCTGGATCTAGCAGTAAGCAAGGGAGGGAGGAAGGAAGGGTTGGGAGAAGGAAGGAGAGGAAGAGAAAGGGGGAGAGGAGGGAGGGAGGAAGAGAGAAACAAAGATAGGGAGATAAATTGGATCATGATATAAAGGGGCAGAACATTAGGCAAATGCATACTGCCTCTCATTTTGGAGGCACTCATTTTGAACTTCATAATAGTTCATGTCACCTTTGAAAGTGATATGATGCTACTATACATGGTGCAAGGAATGCATAATAATAATTGTACTGCTGGATTCTGTCTCTGTTATTCAGGACGAACAGGGCTTTGTCATTCTTCTTCTGGAGAAGAAAAAAGATTGGAAAAGAATGCTGTGGATGTTAGCTGCACCCCAGACAAGAGAGAAAGTGGCAACCATATAGTCTGATGTCTCTCACATAGCATGAAACACTGCCTAATGTCCATAAATTCTGACAGAAGTTGTGAGTTTGTCTTCCTCATGCTCACCAAACAGACAGCTTCCTCAATTTGATGACTGACATGAGGCCATTAGGTAATTTGCTAAGTACAAACTCATATGGCTTCATTAAAATCTAGTGCATGCTATAAACAAGGGCATTTAGATAGCTCCTAAATGGACAGAAATATTTCCAGGTGATTTCATATTTATTAGTGCATAAAAAGGGTGTTATATTTCAAGACACAAATATACCATCAAATGATCATTCTGTCTTATGTCCCTAAACACAATTAACAATAAAGTGTAACAAGCTCTTTTCCTACTGCCTGGAATTTATTTTCATGGTATTACAAAAAGGCCCTTCTTTACAATCATCATTTTCTCTAGCCACGTGTTGCTGTCCCCACTTCCTCTTTTCCTGGTTCCTGGTTAACTAGAATAAACTCTGTGTTCTCATTTCACACCTTGCTTCTCTTAACATGCAAACAAAGGAAACTCAAATCAAGACTATGAAATACCACTACATGAAACTGAATTTTATTTATTGTTTATCAAAACTAATTTAATACATATGCATACTCTAGATTCACAAGGCTATACAAAATTATGTTGCATTCCCCTGTAGCATTAGAAAGAAGCTGGAATATTTCAGATAATTTTTGATACATGGATATTTGTTATCTTGGTTTTGCTCCTGTCAAACCAAAATAAGCAGACTAAAACCCCATCTTCTCTCTTTAGTATTCCCTTGCAACCTTATATTTGGAAATTTACATACTGGAACTGTCAGAAGGACAGGTGATCCCCAGTAATGACAGCAAGTCTGGATGACATAGGCCAGTTTAAGCCCAAATATTCCCCCAAACAAACAGATTAGTATGCAGCTACCTTTGTCTACCCACTTGGGTTTAAATCATCCTAACAATTTAATGAGATCTTAATTGATGGGAGATGTCATTCTGTAAATATATTTCTCTTATTGGTTGATGAATAAAGAACTGTTTGGCCAATAAGGCAGTATGATAGGTGGGACTAGGAGACAAGTGGATTCTGGGAAGTGTAGGCAGAGTAGCACTCTTCCTGTGATTCCAGGGAGGAGAGGGCATAAATGAGGTATTCTACAATGAGAAAAGACCATGTATAAATATATAAATTAGAAGTTATGGGTTAATAATTAAGACAGAACTAGCCAATAAAAAGCCTAAGCCATCAGCCAATAGTTTCATAACTAATACAGTGTCCCTGCATTTATTTGGGGCTTTCAAGGGCTGTGGGACCAGCTGGGGCAGAAAGCTCAAAGAACACATAATATGTATTTGTCACTCTGATTTACTGATCCATAGCTACATACTACATCACAAAGTCTGATTTGCATTCATATTTTTATTTAAAACTATGGCATATGTAATTTTGTAAAAGGTTGCAAGCATACAAGTAAGTGCACAATTTTGACAAAGACATGTACAACATATTTTAATTCTTTAATCATAACCTTCAAATAATTGGGGTGTAGTTAGTATAATGATTGGAATGTATTGCACCCTTAATGAGTTGCTAAATGATTACTGAAACCTTTTTATTTTGGCCTTAAATTCTTTCATGGTTTCACCTCAAATGAACTAAGATTTGTCTTCCTATTTTGTCAATTACAAAAAGTAAATAAATTAATAAGCAATTAAGTAATCAAGACCTACAGAGAGAAGTTTTGACATACATGAAAAAAATACATAATAAATATAATTCAGCCTTCTGACACAGGTGGTATTGCTGGTCCAAAAAAAAGTTCTTTTGTCTTCTCAGGAAAGTGTTCTAAATGTTAATATTTTCAAAATGGTTATATTCACACCAATGAATAATTTTCCAAAATACCAGATATCATTTCTCATTTTACTTATTTATCTAATCATTTATCTGTTACCTGTTTAATTATGTATTGATGGGGGATATCCTGTAAATATGTTTTTCTTACTGGTTGGAGTATAAAACACTGTTCAGCCAATAGAGGCAGGAAGATAGGCAGGACTAGGAGACTAGGAGAATTCTGGGAAAGGTAGGCAGAGAAGCACTGGAAGGAGCTGCCATGGAGGAACCATGAAGATAGTACATGCCAGGCATTCTCCTGTAAGATAAGGCCATATAGAAATGCATAGATTAATAGTTACGGCTTAATAATTAAGACAGAGCTAGTGTATAAGAAACCCTAGTCATTGGCCAACAGATTAATAATTAATATGTCTCTGTGTGCTCATTTGGGGCAAGGCAGCTGCGGGACTTGGCAGGACATAGAACCTCCACTAACAATGTATCTATCTAGATTTATTTTTGTGCGCTGATGTGTGTGTGTGTGTGTGTGTGCGCGCGCGTGTGCGTGCGCGTGCATGCACATCTGTGTATGAAGAGCCACAGAACAATAAATGTGTCTATTGTTATCTAATTTTCGAGGCAGTGACTTACACTAAACCTGGCATTGAATAATCAGGTCAGATTGGCTGGGCTGCAAGCCCCTGGGATGCTCATGACAACACCTTCCAGTGCTATAACTGCAGGTACATATTGCTGAATTAAGCTTTTAGGGTGAGTGCCAAAATCCTGAACTCAGACCCTTATGCCTGGGCAGCAAGTAATTTATCCACTGAGCCATTTTCCCTTAGACTGTATTTCTTTAAAATGGTCAATGATTCTTGTTTTCAACTTGGTCAAGATGGCTCTCAACCCTTTCCTGGCTCCTCATGTGTCTTCAAATGAGAGGTAAGTTTAATCTTCTTTCTAGCTAACGAGATACATATGCTTTCAGTCATGAATCCTATCTTTTTGCCCTCCCAACAGTAATTCTCTGGGGAATGGACTCTTCCTGAGACAAAGCTTATTCCATATCAGGTCCACATCTTTGTGAACAAACTGACGGATGTACAAATAATGAATGAATCATTTATCATGTGCCTTCTACTGAACATAACCCAGAGTCCCCGCAGAGTTAGGAGTTCAATCCTCTCACAGTCTCTTCTGCTCTGCTTGGACAGGAGCAGGGTAGACAGGAGGAAGAGATT